GAATCCAGCTGAGCTGTACAAACGATGCAATACGGCAAAGCCCCTGAGTCACTCCTCGTTTGGAAAAGCTCATTTAGCCACAAGAAATAAACGAGAGACCTAGCCGGAAAGCTGTACATGGAAAGGTGAAGCGGAAAACGGGGCCATCACTTGATTGAAGTCTCGAGGTAGAGAATAACCAAGCGCGAAGGGTTCAAACGCAATGCAGAAGCCTAAGAATTCCTGGTCGGGCTCCGTCTCGAGAACAATCGGAGAGCCGTAGAACTCTGGGTGGAGAAAAGTGGTGAAGGCAGGTTCATCTAGCCAGCTGGGGTCGACACGACATAGTCTGTTGTCCACATAGCGGAGGAATCGTGAAGTCAAGTCCAATGTGGCCAATGTTGAGTGGAAGGTACGGTGCCATACTTCTTCTGATAATGCCACCACCATCAGGCATAGGGCGGGGCTCGGCGGAGATCCCATTGGTGAGCCACGAAGCTGTTCGAAGACGCGGTGCCGATGGAAAACAGGGTCATCTGCAAGGCCACAAGGATGATCGGCTCAACATCGCGAATGTAGATCTTGCGGGTGACATTCAAGGTGCGACATGTACGGCCTTTGACGACATCGCCGGCATGGTTTCCAGAAGATGGTTTGACTGAAATAATCTCAGCAGGGTGGGTGCTCATCGTCGCCGATAGGTATCGGAGCATAAAGGCGCCAGCTGTCCACGAATCGGGTCGTATCAATGCTGGTGAAGAAGCCAGCCAAATCCTGGTTGTATAGCAATGGTGGATTCAAGTTGTCAAAGTCAATCTTCTGGAGTTACTTGAGTTCGAATACATCACCTTGAGCAAGCTTGTGTGGGAAAGCTGCCGGGATGAGTTGTTAAAGGAGCTTGGCAATGCAGTTGAGCATAGGTCGATATGGTGATGTGAAGAAGCTGACGATTGGCCTTCCCAAAGCAAATTTCTCTTTTGTTTTGGTAGAACATAAGCATTTGGGAGATCACGTCCAGCTCCTAAAGCCAAGGGGTAGCTCTTGAGAAAGCGTTTCTTGATTTTCTCGATGGTGGGGTGAATAGTTTCCGTCGGTGATGTAGGTATTGTTCGAAACACGGCAGGGTCTGAAAATGCCGCTGTCAAGCACTGGAAGTAGAGGCATGGGCAGTAAATGCGGAGCGATGTAACACATTTATCTTCGTTGGGAAACACCGCTCCAGGGAAGGTTGTTTGGAACTTGACGATGTCACGGTGGGTGATGTGTGAAGAAATTTGACCGGTGTGTTTTGGCCACGATGTACTCCAAAGTTCTTGAAGGTTTGTCTTGGATATAGACGGCACGGCGTTCTTCCGCTGCCATGTGTGAAAGGCTGTGAGGAATAGCTTGAAGATCTCCTTCTTGGGTGGAAATATCTTGTTCTGCAGGGAGCCCGTCGCAATGGAGGTCAGCGGTTGAAGGTCGAACTTCAAGGTGTCACCATCCAAGGCCACATGTTCCGATTCTTGGTGTTCGATGTGAGATGAAGTTGTAAAATGGAGCAAACACAGGTGGGTTGTTCTGAGTCTGCCCGCCGGGTGGCCATCTTCTTGTGGTTGCATAGGCTGTCCATCACGGAGGGGTGCTTGGTGAAAAATGTGAATACGATGCCTGTTGATGGAGGTTGAAGTGAAACATGGTGAGGTTTCACCATTGCCACATGTGATGTAAGCACCTTTCTCAACCGTTGTCGCCATGTTGGGGCAAGCAGCCAGGGAGCTTGGAGGGTTACTGGACGAAGTACACGTTTGCCTTTGAAAAACTTGATGGCGGCCCGCTCGATCGCATTCAGTGCGTAGGATCATTGTGGTTCTCCAAGGTTGTTGGCTAGGCGACGTATGAAGTAGCATCCTTGGAGGCCAATGGCGTTCGATCGAATACCTTTTTCCATGTGAAATCGTCGCAGAGAGTTTGAACTCAGGTGCTGGATCGTTTCCCAGACACCAACACGATTGTAGAAGGTCTTGCTGCGGAGAGCCATACGTATGCGCTCAGGTGTAGATGCCCATCGCAATTTCCGCCGCGAAGAGAAAGTTCCAAACTGATGAGATGTCGAAAAAGGAGTTTTGGCAATAATGCCTTTCTGGCAGTTGACAAATTGACAAATAAACGGAGTGCTGAGACGGGGTTGCCATTGAGTTGAATTAAGGCTTGGTCCAAAGCCCAAAAGTTGGATTTGCATGGATTTGCCCGTATACATCGGGAAAATGGACCACACCCAGAAATTGTCGAATCGACAATTTCTGGTGTTCCAAAACCGTACGGCAACTTCGGCCAGCACGAATTTATTCTGTTGCACTTGAAGGAGTTTTCTGTATCGAGAATGTCATCGATCCAGCACAAAAGATGAAGTCGACCCGATGTAAAATTTGGGTTGGAAATTGTGAATGTGGGCAAATCGAGCATACACAGCTTGATCAGCATAAAAACATACGAAAACAAGAGAACACGGTATATAAAACAAACATCCCACGACGAACAAAAGAAGATGCGGCAAAAATGGGTTCCACGAAGAAGAGCAGGAAGTTTGGAATTTCCGTTGGGATGAATCGAGATGAAGAAGAACAAATTGACCCATAAGAGTGGTTTGAATCATACGGAATCCGTAGACGAGTTGAATACACGGCGAGAGTGTAAACGGAGTCAAAATGGCCAAACAAACAGGATGCACGAATGTGCGATCTCCAGGTCGTTCAGAATGTGTTTGGCACTTAAACACTTCGATCGGAGGTGCGAAGCTAGTCACGAGGAAACCGTCAAGGCCACCGTCATCACACGGATAACCAGCTCGTCCATTGTGGAGTTCTTCAACTTGTGCGGCTCCAAGCCCATCGCTACACTGACCCTTTGGATCTGCTTTGCTGCGTGGTCCGGTTGGTTCTGCCACCATTGCAACGCCTTGTTGAAGTTCTTGTCAAGTGTGTCCATCTTTGGTTGGGGTAGTTTGAGATCCTTCAGCCATTTCTTGTGGTTGGAGTCGGAGAGGGTTGTGGGTTTGATTCTTCTTCCAACCAAGGATTTGCAGTCCCTAGCATAACGAGCAAGGAATCTGGTTCAAACGTCGAAGCTGGGGGCAGAGCGTCCTTGCAAAGCTTGATAGATCGTTGCGCTGCCAGGTGTGGTCGCAGTACCAGCAGGCTCACAAGGAGTGGTGTCACCCTGGTTGGATTTCAACTTGGCAAGTTCCGTCTCAAGCTCCAAAATGCGTCGTTGGCTGGTTGGGTCAGCCACAATACAAGTAGTGTGAGGTAACCAGGATTGGATATGTTGAGCAAGGTCTTTGGCCATTTGTTGAGTGGCCTCTTTCTGTTGAAAGTTGGTGCCCTGAGTTCGGGTATGGTAACCTGCAACTCGGGCGTGCCAATCGGCGCTCCCACGGTATAACTATGCCTTGGTCTTGTTGTTGGGCAGGCGAGCGGTGGCCAACCCGACATCGGCTCGGCGATGCCGGGGGGAGGAAGCCCGGGCGTGCGGTGGTAGACCCGGGTTTTGCCCAAGTTGGACGGTTGGACGCGATGCCTGTGTGGGCGCGCGATGGCCCGGAACACAATATCAAAGGCCGCCCGTTAGTAACGACGCGCACGTCGTCGAGGAAAGCAGAAAGGCGCTCGCTGGGGAGGAGTGTGCGCCAAGCAGCTTCCAGAGCGCCGTGCTTGGCCAGGGCATTCATTGTCCTGAAAAGCACGTGCCAACAGCTCTGCTTCTCAGTATGTCGCTTCCTCCGGAGTTTTCCCAAGCTGTTTCATCACGCATCCGTCTCGCTCCCTCCAACGGAGCTCTCCCCAAGCTGTTTCACAGTTTCCCATCCGTCCGCGATGTCCACGCTTCCGTCCCCGCCTCCCAACGGAGCTCTCCCCAAACCATTTCCCACGGTTTCCTGTCCGTCCACGATGTCCACGCTTCCGTCTCGGTCCCTGCCCCCGCAGCTCTCCCCAAGCTATTTCCCACGGTTTCCTGTCCGCCCACGATATCAACACTTCCGTCCCGCTCCCTCCCAAGCGATCTTTCCCATCCGTCCACGGTGTCCACGCTTCTGTCTCGCTCCTTCCGTATAACACGGTGTCCACGCTTCCGTCTCGCTCCCTCCCAGCGGAGCTCTCCCATGCTCTCCCCAAGCTATTTCCCGGTGGCCCACCCGTCCACGGTGTCCACGCTTCCGTCTCGCTCCCTCCCAACGGAACTCTCCCCAAGCTATTTCCCACGGTTCCTGTCCGTCTGCTCTCCACGGCTGCATCCCGCTCCCTCCCAACAGAGCTCCCCCCAAGCTATTTCCCGTCCGTCCACCCTGTCGTCGCTTCCGTCTTGCCCTCCCAACGGACCTCTCCTCAAGCTATTTCCCACGGTTTCCCGTCTGTCCACCCAGTCGTCGCTTCCATCTCGCTCACTCTCAACGGAGCTCTCCCCAAGCTTTTTCCCACGGTTTCCCGTCCGTCCACCTTGTCGTCGCTTCCGTATAATATCGCTCCCCCGCTGCAAAATAAATTAAACGAGAACTCAAGCATCGGAGATGCTTTTGGGAAAAATGAATGACCCGGGGAGCATTTATGCACAATTTAATGAAGTGAGACGCTGCAAGCACTGGTTGCAATGGGGACAATCTCATCCGTCCATCTTGCAAGCTTAATGTCGTGACAGCTCAAGAATCTTGATGTAGACTTTGTAAGTGCACAATGGGTGCCAGACCTACGCCTAACCAAAGGCCCGGGCCCTTTGAAACGGAATAGACATTGGATTGCCAGAGGCGTGTGAAGCAAGTTGAATAACCGGTTCTGTGCTTAGCTGGCTGCCGGTGGCACGTGCCACTTGCTCGCTTAAAGTGTAAAGATGGATGGAGCAAGCCAGGAACAACAGGCGATCATAACATTGCAGGTAGGCCATGGTTGGCCAGGCTGGTTGAGCCTAGTATCACCGTCAATGGGAAAATGTCGTCGTTGGCAGGAAGCTTACCGCGATGCTCCAAAATGATAAAAAATGTACAGTAGCTATAAAATGAATAGGAGGCAAAAGCGGCACATAAAAGGAAGAACAATTTTTACACCACAACAGAGGTTACACAAACAAACGTTTGCATACGTTTGCGCGGATACATGCAGATATATAAACAAACAAACAAACAGACGGACGGACGGACGGACAGAGATACATACGCGAACGCTAGACACAAGCAGATCTATGCCTTGTTCCGTGCGCTGCCCTGCATTCAGTTCAGACAGGCACAAGCAATAAGCTTGGCGTGAAGGGTGCGCACCTTGTGTTTGATTTCCAAACTCTTTCAATGTAAGTTTTCCAATGCGAAACCTCAACCTCATCTGTCGCTCCTGGGTGATGGGATGTGTCAAAGCCGGCTCCCAGGTTTTGACGCCTCGATGCTGGCAAGGTGCGGGAAACAATTCAACATGGCAGCGCGCAGTGTTTGGCCAAATGCTTCCACACACTGCGCCCGCCAATCTATTGACATATTGCTTCTGTATTACTGTATATCTAGCTATCTTCGGCCATCGGGCCATATAGGAAGGTGACGTGATTTCTCTAGAATCCATAACAGGCCACGCAACACGTGAACATACCCCCAACCGAAGATGGACTTTTTGCATTCAAAGGCTGCAAAGCTTTGCAAGGCACCGTGCTATGCACTATTCTGACCCATGCCGCGCCTCCTGCGAGGCCAATGTCGCCCTCTTCAAAATCTACCTTCTGGTCTAAGCCCATTGATGTCAGAAAAGCTTGCCAGCGCTTCATTGGAATAGCCTGCGCGGCACTGCTGCGTCATGGTGAACATGGGGCAGCAGAAAAGAAAGAACCAAAAGCGCAAGGCCTGGGCGGAGCTCTTCATCTTGTTACATGCGCTCACTTTAAAGCTCACCCAATATTCAGCCATCTGCGTTTCATTGCTTTTTCTTTACGAGCGGCAGCCTACACTCTAAGCGTGTTCTTTGCCTGTCTCGGTGAAACTCCTTGACCCATCAGCTGCCTTCAGCGTGTCCAAAATCACTTCTCCCCTGGCAAGCCTCACCAAGACGATCCCAAAACCGATGTCCATTACAATCGCCATCTTGCAAATTTAGCAAAACATAGCCCCACTGTCTCCACTGAAACTACAAAGAATGGAACCAAACAGTCGCACCGCCCTTTACTTACCAATCTGCCCTGCACTTGTCCCCAGCAGACCGGGACCCATCAGTGGCCGGCAAAACGTAAACAAGCCCACTGTAAACCCACAGGGCCCGCGAATGCAAAGTCAGAGAGCGGCTGGATTTCTGCCAAATGACATGGCGTATCCTTGAATGTCTTCTGCCAATCCAGAATAGACACCGCAGAGCTGCCTGGCAAATCAGATTGCATATGCAGCCAGCAAAGCAAGACGCAGCTTATTCATAATAAAGGTATTCAAGGTTCATCCACGGACCCACTCTTGATCTACATATCTGCGATCCTTAGAATCTACCTATCTATTCAAGTTTTTCTATCCATCTATGAACCCGTCGATCCATCCACCCATCTGCATGATCCCTACCTTCTACGTCTGCCGATCTATGTATATATCCAGCTACATATATCCAGCTACGTAAAAACAAAAACGAACTGTTTATCGAAGGAAGTTTAGAAGTCAAACTTCCGACAATATGGACAGATGCAAAAGGCAGAGGTGGGAAGAGTCAGAGAAGAAAAAGAATCAGTAGAAAGAAGATCAGCGAAGAGAAAGAATCAGAAGACAGAAGATGCAGACTCCTGTGTAGCAACTCCTGTGTAACAATTTCTGTGCAAATGACCTTGCAGGCAGGAGTCTTGTAGGAGTTCAATTAGAAGTAAATCACCTGCAAGTCAACTCCTGTGTAAATGGCATTTTTCAAGTTTTGTAGGAGTCCCCTAGAAGTTGATCACCTGTAGCTGATGTAGGTGATGTTGTCTATGTTGAAGCTGATGAGGATGATGTTGTAAGTGATGTAAGGTTAGATAGGTTTGGAGATGTAGGTGATGTAGAGGATGCAGTGATATAGATGATGATGTAGGTCATGTATGCGTTGTAGATTATGTATGTCATGTAGAATGTAGATGAGGCTGATGGAAAAAGATTGTGTAGGCGATGTAGGTGGTGTAGGTGAGATAGATGATGATGGTGAGGATGATGACGGTGGTGATGATGATGATGGTGATGATGATGGTGATGATGATGATGATGATTATGATGTAGGTAATTAATGTATGTGTTGTAGATAAAGCATGTCATATAGATGAAGTTGATGGGAAAATGTGTAGGCGGTGTAGATAATGTAGGTGAGGCAGATGTAGGGGATGATGATGGTGATGATGATGATGATGCTGATGGTGCAGATGTAGATCTAGAGAAGATGGTGTAGAAGATGGTATAGAAGATGTAGGTGATGTAAAGGACATAAGAGCTGTGGATGATGTATGTTAGGTAGATGAAGTGAAGAGTGAGGCGGACAGCAGTTCTTTGGGAAAAAACCGTCGCACGAGCTTCGGGAATATTGGCCACAGTATTGCAAACGCTTTTGGAAAAGTGCTGTGATTGCGCCTTGTGCGCCCGACCTCTAGAGTAAGAAGGGCGGGGCAATAAACATACTTCACTCATTGCGTGTTTGGCAACTGTTTTTGTTTCTGGCTGTTGGGGCTACTCTTTGGGCCTATTTAGATCCATTTGACCTAAACTGATCATGAGTGATTGAATCGAACTGTACATTGAGTGTGATCAAGAACAATGAAAAAATGAAAATATTCTGAAAAAGCAATGCCAACATCAAGAGCAAGATGAAAGACTCTGAAAAAACAATGCAAAGATCAAGAGCACGATGAAAGACTCCAAAAAAACAGTGCGAACATCAAGAACACAGTGAAAGACTCTGAAAAACCAATGCAAGCATCAAGGGCATGATGAACACACACACATTATATATATATGTAGTGATGTACATATTAGCAGCCTCCTGAGGCATAACGGGGGGGTTCAAGTTCGAGTGAGGGTTCCAAACTTTGCAACGGGGACTTCGACCGCAACGGGGGAAACAACGAGAAGACACACTGGGAAGAGGACGACGAGAAAATGAGAAATAGTGGGAACACGTGTTGTAAAGTTTTTGAATAGAAAAGGTTTGGCATCTTTGATAAAAATTAAAACATCGATATGAATATGAATGCCAAAATTTCAACATCCAAGAACACGATAGAAAATAAATAAGCATAAATGTCAACTATTTATGAAACCAACTGAAACCGACTGAAACCATATGAAATCAAATGAAATCATGGTTCAGCCAATCTCCCTACAAAATCAAAAGCATCTCACAAAACTTAAAGCATGGCCGTAATGTCCTGAAAACCAAAAACACTACAAAATCAAAAACAGGGCTTGAGGTGTGCTCTAAAATGATCCCGAAAATGTCCCTCTACAAAATCAAAAAACTGCTTGGGGATGATTCAGGATACCGAACCATCTCCCACAAAAAAAGCTTTGTGCCAAACGTGAACGTGTTAGATTTTGTAGGTTTTTTTTTTTGAGGTATCATTTTGACTTCCAAGCGTGCTTCACGCCACAACGCCGTGCAATTTTTCATCTCTCATCCCCCCAGATGGCTCCGCGCCACTTCAGCGAGACCCGCCGGAGCCACAGAACATTGGACAAACACAGTGTTTCGCGACTTTTCTACCTTTTCGCGCGCCTGCGTCTTCTTTCTTCTGACTCTTTCTCTTCTCTGACTCTTCCAACCTCTGCGTTTCCATCTGTCCATATTGCCGGAAGTTTCACTTCTAAACTTCCCTCGATAATCTCACAAAGACGTTAATCACCAAAACTGACGCCAAAACAAAATATGACAAGATGATGTCAAACGAAGAAAACTGGAGATGGGATCGCCCCATCTCGCGTTAGTCATGTGACTAATGTACTACTCTGCGTTCAAGCCATGTCCGGTATGTCGGCCGACCGCTGCGAGTGCTGCCCACTCAGCCAAGGCACGACACCAGGAGATTGAAGAAGAAGCTGTAGACAACAAGCATGTAAGCCACGACGACCTTGAGCGAGCTACACCATACTACATCGGACTGCATGCCCCACCTTCAAACAGAACAAGTATTGCAACAACATGTGAAAGCTCATGCCTCGCCGTCCCTGCCTTGAGCGGCTCATGTGGCCCAGGCTCTGCCCACGAAATAGGTGCGGAACACTAGACAAAGGAAAGCATAGCAAAACAATCCCCATCCTTGATTCGCAGACCGCCTCAAGCCCAGGGGCTATAAGGAGATACGGGCTTTCGCCAGAAATGCTGTGGATTTTCTCCTGGGCTGAACTTAGTGATTGAATAAGGAAGCCATATCATATGCGCTAGATCGTATCAGGCGATGCCAATCGAACGTGTGCATGCTGATGGCCCGTGAAACGTAAATCAAAGACACGGTCTGTGAATCTGCATGGCAAGGATATCCAAGAATCCGTGTCCATGAGACCGACAGCCAACTGCACCAAGGTGGTCATGATGCTTCCAATGTTGGTGAACTCCTTAGGTGAAAGCATTCCGGCTTCTCCAACCGAATTTTGTCAATTGCCTTGGCACAGGACATCAGAAGAAAAGAGGAAGTACCAACGAGACAATCAAAGAACACTTGAAGCAACTGAATCAAGTGTGCGTTCCTATGTAATGATCTTGTCGATACGTTAGCCTCCTGGAGTGGTGTTGTTTAAGTTCACGGGCAACAGTTTGATTTGACATTTATCCTGACGAAAGCCCGCCCATCTGTAGGGACACGCAGTGAATATTATATCATAAAATATTTTTATACCTCATTAAGATATTGAAATATAGTGTGCATATCTATCAATCATTCTATCTATCTACCTACCTATCTAGTTATCTGTCTATCTGTCCATCTATCTATCCATCTACCTACCTACCTATCAATCTATCCATCTATCCATCTATCTACCTATCTACCTACCTACCTACCTACCTATCTATCTATCTATCAATCTAAATTAATCCATCCTATCCATCCTATCCATCTATCCATCGATCCATCGATCCATCGATCCATCGATCCACCTATCCACCTATCCATCTATCCATCTATCGATCTATCGATCTATCGATCTATCTATCTAATCTAATCTAATCTATCTATCTAATCTATCTAATCTATCTAATCTATCTAATCTATCAAATCTATCAAATCTATCTAATCTATCTAATCTATCTAATCTATCTAGTCTATCTAGTCTATCTAGTCTATCTAGTCTATCTAGTCTATCTAGTCTATCTAATCTATCTAGTCTATCTAATCTATTTAATCTATCTAATCTATCTAATCTATCTAATCTATCTAATCTATCTAATCTATCGAATCTATCTAATCTATCTAATCTATCGAATCTATCGAATCTATCTAATCTATCTAATCTATCTAATCTATCTAATCTATCTATCCTATCTAATCTATCTATCTATCTATATAATCTAATCTAATCTAACCTAATCTAATCTAACCTAATCTAATCTAATCTAATCTATCTATCTATCTATCTAATCTATCTAATCTATCTAATCTATCTAATCTATCTAATCTATCTAATCTATCTATCTATCTATCTAATCTATCTAATCTATCTAATCTATCTATCTATCTATCTATCTATCTATCTATCTATCTAATCGATCTAATCGATCTAATCTAATCTATCTTTTTACTTTTAAAGTCTTAAGTGCAAAATACCAGTAGTACCGCACAAGGCGGTGGCGGAAGTTTCAAAAATAGGAAACCTATAGGAGAGGTTGGAAAAATAGGAAACCTATAGGAGAGGTTGGTTGTTGTGAATCACGGATGGCAGAGCGAATCCACTGATGGACTGAAAGGTGGTTGGAGTTGTGTTTCTTGGAGTGGTTGCAATGTTTGCAGTGGTCACCTCACCACAACTGCTGGATGTAGTGTGGTGTAGCACAGTTGTAGTCGTAGTTGCAGTCGTAGTTGTAGTGTAGTTAAGTGGAGTTGTAGTTGTAATGTTGTGTAATTAGTGGAGTGTAGTTGCAGTTGCAGTTGTAGTTGTGGTGTGGTGTAATTAGCGTAGTGTATTGTAGTGTGCTGTAGTGTTGTGTACTGTAGTTTGGCTATAGTGTAGTGTAGTCTAGCGTAGTGTAGTGTAGCTGTAGCTGTAGTGTAGTGCAATTAGTGTAGCGTCGTGCCCTGCAATTTAGTGGTAGTTGCAATTGTAGTTGCAGTTGTAGTTGTAGCTGTAGTGTAATGTAATGTAATGTAATTAGTGTAGCGTAGTGTTGTGTAATGTAATGTAGTGTAGTTGTAGTCGCATTTGTATTTGAGTGTGCTGCAGTGTAATTAGCGCAGTGTAGTGTAATGTGGTGTAGTTGTAATTGTAGTTGTAGCTGTGGTAGTAGTAGTTGTTGTCGCTGTAGTGTAATTAGTGTAGTGTAGTGCAGCATAGTTTTTTTTTCATTTGTAGTTGTAGTAGTAGTAGTGTAGTGTAGTTGTAGTAGTTGTTGTAGTTGTCTATCTATCTATCTATCCATCTATCTATCTACCTATCTGTCTAGCTGCAATCTGCAAGCTTGAAAACGAAGCTATTCTGCGAGACTTCCTCAACTTTTGAACTTGACAACGTCAAAAAGGAAACAATTCTGCGAGAATTCTTCACTTTTTGAACTGACAACATCAAAAACGCAGCAATTCAGGGAGACTTCCTCAATTTTCGAAGTTGACAACATCAAAAACGAAACAATTCGGCGAGACTTCCTTCAAAAATGGAAAGTTGAGTGCAGAGCTGACGGCCTCGTGCCAATGCGTTTTGCATTCTTTTTCTACTCCATCTGTCTAAAGTACTGCGCGTGCCACAAAAAAGTGATGCCAGGCCATACGAAGTGGTGCACCTGTCACGCAAAATCATCTTCCCAAAACTGAAGATCTGATGCTCCAAAATGCAACCCTTCTCAGAAAATCAGCGCCCGGACCTCCTAACACTGCGCCTGCCACGGAAAATGCATCTTTGCAGATCCTCTTCATTGGAAATGCCACAAAACCCTCACGTTTTGCACACTTTTGACAAGGTGTACAATCCCTTGCGCCTGCCACGCGAAACGACATCTGAACGTCCAAAATTGCTCCGAACCTGTCAGTTTTTTACATGGCGTGCACTTTTTCGACATCGCAACTTCTAAAAGTGCTCTGACGCTGAGGTGTTTTGTACGTTTTGACTTGGAAATGTGCTTCGCGCCACAACGGCGTGCACTTTTCAACATCAACTTCCACAAGTGGTCCGACGTTGGTGTGTTTTGTACATTTTGACTTGGAAATGTGCTTCGCGCCACAACGGCGTGCAACTTTTCATCTCTCATCTGACCACATGGCTCCGCAGCCGCCGCTTTAGCGAGCCTACTTTTCGACCCTCCGGAGCCACAAATCATTGGAAGAACACACAGTGAATCGCGACTTTTCTACCTTTTCGCGCACCTGGATCTTCTTTCTTCTGAGGCTTTCTCTTTTTTGATCTTCTTTCTGCTTCTCTTCTCTGACTCTTCCCATCTCTGCTTTTCATCTGTCCATGTTGTCGGAAGTTTGACTTCTAAACTTACTTCGGTTAATGTATATGTATATAGAACAAAATATTTATTTAAATATACCTATTTCCCCAATAGCGATAGCTCGGGGTTGTTAACTCTAAAGCCAGAAGGCCTGGCCGGTGTCCCGGTCCCGGTGGTGTCTCAGTGATGTCTCGTGGTGTTTCGGTGCTGTCTCGATGGTATCTCGGTGGTGTCTCGGTGGTGTCTTGCTGGTGTCTCGGTGGTGTCTCGGTGGTGTCTCGCTGGTGTGGTGTCTGGGTGGCGTCTTCGGTGGTGTCTCGGTGGTGTTTCGGTGGTGTTTCGGTTGGTCTCGGTGGTGCCTTGGTGGTGTCTCAATGGTGTCGGTGGTCCCTTGCTGATTTTTTTGGTCGTACCCTAGTTGTGTGTCAGCGGTGTCTTGTTGGTGATTCTGTAATGTCAGACAGCGTTTGTGGAGCTCTGTGGTGTCTCCGTGATGTCTTGGAGGTGTCTTGATGGCAATCAAGATTGGAAATCTCCTTGGCAATCTGGGTGTCTCGGTGGTGTCTCTATGGGGTTTTGGTGGTGTCTCCGTAGTGTCTTGGTAGCCTCTCGGTGGCGTCCCGAAGGTGTCTGCATGGCGTTGTGCTCTTTTGATGGTGTCTCGGTGGTGCCTTGGTGGTGTCTAACGGTTTCAAAGTGATACAAAGTGTTCGCGGTGTCTTGGTCGTATCTTGGTGGCGTTGTGTTGGTGGTGTCGAAGCGGTTGTGTTGCGGGTCGGTTGGTTGTGTGCCGGTGGCGTTTCGCTGCGCGCCGCTGAAGTCTTGAAGGTGTTCCTCTGGGTTGATCACACCATTCGCCAAGTAGTTTTCAACGATTCCATCCTGTTGTCATGCTGACGATCATGACTGCTGCTGCTGCTGCTGCTGATGACGATGATGATGATGATGGTGGTGATGATGATGATGATGATGCGGCTGATTATGCTGATGGTGGTGATGATGATGATGATGTGGCTGATTATGCTGCTGATGATGATGGTGGTGATGATGATGATGACGATGATGATAACGATGATAATGACGATGACGATTCCATTGCGTTTGCAGGTTTGGGCGAAGGCGGGGTCGGGACGGATGTTAACGTATGTTTGGAACTAACGTGCTTACTTTGATGCTTCTACCGAATCAACTAGATTGCGAACATTCCCTGATGCCATGCAGCAACCAGGGCTGCTGGCCGCTCACCTCACTAGAGGAGTTGGCGTACTTGCTGCATGCTACGCTTGCGCCGAAACTCTCACGCAACTGTATCCAAAAAAAAGCGTTAGCATAGAACAAAAAAGAAGGAAGGAAGGACGGAAGGAAGGAAAGGAATAATTTTCGACAGGAAGAAAGGAAAGAAGGAGGGAGGGAGGGAGGGAAGGAAGGAAGGACAGCAGGACGGCAGGAAGGAAGAGGCAAAGGCCTAGCTCCAGAATGCTGCGTGCGCCTTCCGATTTGCACATGTTACTTTCAAACAGCTGCTGCAAGTCCGGCACAATTTACAAGTGTTGGGTTCAAAATGGGGCAAGCACTGTGCAATGCAGTTTACAGATTTCAGCCACAACACGCTGCAAACACCATGCCATCATGTGCAATGCACAAATGATAACGCAACATGTTGCAAATACCGTTCCGCTTGCAGCTTTAAGCTTCAGAAAAAAACGCAAAAGATGTCAATTTCAAAAAGCTGCCAATGCCATGCGGTTTGCCAATGATAGTTACAAAGCATTGCAAGCACCATGCGTTGCGCTAAGTTTTACCCAGTATGCTGTACATACTGTGCAAGTGATAGTTTTTGGTTTCGGCATGCTGCAAGCATTCTACAGTGTGCGTTTTTTTTTGCTTCCGACCGCTGAAAAAAACAACAGGCTTGTCATATACGATTCCAAATCTTGCAAACATCATGCAATTTGCAAATGTTAGTTTTGCATTGCCGCAAAAATATTGCGCGATGGCAAAGCTCCGCGCAATGAACTGATGTTGCATAATACCATGCAATACACAGGCGTTTTACGGCTTAGAGAGCCGAACACCAAATGACCAAGATATTGCACACGGATGCTTTTACACAGAGGGATGCGTATACACAGGGGTGCTTTTACACAGAGATGCTTTTTTTTACAAAGGCCCGTTTTTTCGCAGAGACGTTTGCACATACAGATGCTTTTACCCTGAGATGCTTTTACACGCAAATACCTTTACGCACAGGTGCCTTTACGCAGGGATTGCAATTTCACCTCCATTTTTGACGATCGGCATTTCGTACGCGCGGGTTGTGATTCGTGACGCTGCCCTGCCGGTCTAAAATTTTGAAAAAACTGTATTTTTAATTTGTAGGTGTTTGTCAAGAAGTTGACCCCCACCTGCACCTTAAGAAGAAATGTGTTGGTATAGTATATTCAGTTTGTGCGTTAAAAAAGTTCCTATGTACCTGCATCTACGCACCTGCGTCTAAACACCCGCGCTACACCTGTGTATCTCATAATGTACATGCATTAAAGAAGATCATGTCCACATGCATCTGAACACAAGTTGAAATTTGTCGACAATGACAAGCGAGGATGTTGAGGATGATTGAATAAAGAAAAATAACTAGAAATTATTGATGATGATGATGATGATGGTGGTGGTGATGATGATGATGCTCCTTGTGATGGTGATGCTGTTGTGTCGGTGTTGTGGCGATGGGAATGACAAAGTATGCTGGCAGCAACTTTTTCGGAAAACCCCTTTGCAAGTCCCCTCGGGAATTGGCGGCGTCTGTCCTGCTGGTGTCTTGGTGGTCTCTCCATTGTGTTTCGGTGGTCGCTGGTGTCTTGCGGCACTTTGGTGGTGTGTCCGTAGTGTCTTGACGGTGTTCAGTGATGTTTTGGACGTCGTGGTGGTGTTTCTGTGGTGTCTCGGCACTGTCCCGGTGGTGTCTTGGGGGTATTGAAGGAATGGTATTTTCTTGGCGAAGCTGTGGCCCACCTCTCAATACCAACTTGGCGTCAGAGAAAACGCACAACTTTGCTATTGGGGTTGTAAGCTGGGTTACTTATAGTTGTATTTGTCATACATGTAATCACTCTTGATAAGCACACACGATTCTGAATAATTCTGAAGTTTATACTGACTCAAACTCTGAATAATTTTGACATATTGTTTGACATTTGGTCGGGCAAATTTCATTCTGCTAGCTATCTGACGAGTAGGCTACCAGCAGTGCGGGAGCTATCTGATGAGTGGAGCGGAGCATGGCAGAGGGGAGCCACGGAGGAGGAGGAGGAAGAGGAGGAGGAGGAGGAGGCAGAGGCAGCAGCGCAGACACAAAGTCTAGGCTAGAGACCCTCAAGTCACAGAGGAAGGAGAGGAAAACGGCATAACAATGAAAAACAATTGCGCAACAACATTGGGATCGACTAAGCATATACCCAAGGTAACACAAATAGCACTTGTACTGTTCCTCGTTGAACACTGCAAGGCATGAATTACTTGTCCTTGCTTGACGTTATGTCTCTTCCAAGGATCACTGCCTGTCAAGAGTGCTGCCTTAGATCGCAGGGGCTTGGAAACGGTGACCTCATATGTTCATTTGACATTTCGTCGCAGTAATTGCCCAAGTTGCCTCTGGGCTCGTGGTATCATTTGATATCTTACGCATGTTGCTGTTGCAGGAACTCCTGCAAAGCCTGTTCTTGTCTTTCTGTATTGAGCTGCTTCACTGACTCACTGGACCCAGCAGCAACCGACAGCATCTGACATCATTTGACACCAAATGCATAAATGCGTTGTCGGGACGCAGCCAGGAGAAAGGTTGAAAGTTTGGGCTAATAATGCGACAGCAAATATGGGAAGCTTATGATGCTGATGGCATGGCCCTCACTGCACACGCGCCTCCCGGGTCATGCTGGCGATGGCAAAGGAGAAGATAAGCAAAATGCAAGTGACTACACTGATGCAAAGCACCACCTGGCGCAGAAAGGTAATGCACACGGCTCTTATCACAAGAGTATCAGCGCACCGCCGCCTCAGGAAACATCGCGCTTGCAATCCTATGGCGCGTTCTTCCTTGATTTTCCCAACGATAACTCGTAGTCGACAAAACGCTACGCACCTTTTGCCTTCATTGATCTTACGAAAAGAGCAAGGGTGCCATCAAAGAGCAAAAACTAGGCGTCCAAACTTAAAGCAACCAACCCGACCAAGGCCCCACCAGACCTGAAAACAAGAAGGAAAAAGAAGACGGAGAAGAAAAAGAAGAAGAAGAACACTATAAAACGGAAAAGTACACTTCAAATCACTTCAAGTATGAAACGAGGTCAACTGTGGGAAGAAGCGGGCGTCATGGTTCACTTGCAAGATCCACGATGTAGTACAATCAGCAAATCACAAGGCAATTGCAAGTAAAAACTGTGTTTTGCATGGCGGGTGCCACTCATGATGCGCCTTCAACAAGGGAAGGCGGCTTAAGTCAAGTCCCCAATATCAGTTAGTATTACATGATATATACTATCTTATCCTGGTGAATCCAGAAGGTCAACATTATTATTGACGACGCAAGGCTGTGCTGACATGTGCATTCTGCAAAAAACAAGGTTGGTCCGCACTCATCTTTTCCTTCCAAGCACAAGCCCAAACCATGTAATGGAATTTCCCGTTGAACAGCTGGACAGGGCAGTTGCCTGCTTCACTGCATGCGTGCACAAGACTTTGAACTCGCACAACTCGATGGAAATATTGGCGATATCGGCCACGATGATGGCATACCTAAGAGCGGTGCATGACCAAACAAATTGGCCCGGCATCATGTATAGTATGTAAAACAAAATGCTGTAGAGTATATGGGCAATCTTTCGGCAAAGTGAAAGGCAAAAAGAACCAACACGTGTTGAGTAAAATCAGCAGTTACATGTTTGTTTGTGCGCTGTCTGAACAGATGTAAAAGATATTATGGAATGTTGTTGGTAGTTGGGGTTTCATGACTTGTTACAGTGGCAGCCCAACGAAGAGGCTGCTACAGGTCACTGGCATGGACTCTGGAGGCAGAATCCACGCACCTGCCAATATTGGTTTCGATTTCACTGCAAATGGCCGGCGGCTAAACCAAGAACCGCCAAGTCGTTTTGCGCCAAACAGTTTACTGTTTCATTCAGATTGCTTGGGCCTGAATCCTGCCCTTTGCGAAGGGTGGTACGCATTACGCATCTACAGCGTGCCACATTTTTGCTTGAGGATCATGGTTCTGGTCCAACATGGTCCAACTGTTTTCTTAAGATGCCAGCAAGTTGGTAGACAGCCCTCAATTCAGTCCTCCTTTTGCCGGTGGGGGTGCCAAAGCAACGACATCTCCCTAAGATCCCTAAGTGCTCAAGTGCTTTTCAGACTTGGGATCCGCAAGCACTCACTATGCGTTTCCTTTGGGAGCAATGAGGCTATTGGCTGAGGCCCGTCCAGAAAGGGCGGCTGAAATCGCTTGCTCACTGCATTGCTGACAAGTCATCATATATGCCTGCATCGCTGCCACCCATGCAAGCCAGGATGCAAGAAGATTCCCAAAACAGTCATCATTTCATACGCAAGACCTCAGCACATCTCTGCACTGAAATGGCCAGGAAATAAAACATATTTTGCAAGTTGTTACACCAGCGTGCCCGATTCAAGTGCAAACGCCTGCCTCAAGCCTCTCGACATCGCAATTTCTGCATCTACACCCTTTGGATTCCCTTTTTGCATTCACTCTCCACGTGTTTTTATTCGGTTTGCTTCTGAAAGCGACAAGGTGCTCATTTCATCGTTCCAAGCGCCGCAAGTGTAGCTGATCCGGCCCTGAAGTCTTCATGGCAAACGCAAAATCACGTAAGTCCGTCCCTGCCTACAAAGTTTTCATAGCGCCCGCAGTCGAGCACTAAGTTATCTAAGTTCCTGGTTCTGGAAACTCTGCTTGTGTGTTGTTTGTTCATTTCTCTATTTGTTTGTCTGTCTGTTTGTTTGCGTAACTGCGTGTTGCTTGCATGTTTGCATGCTTGCATGTTCGTGTGTTGGTGTGCTTGCATGTATGTTTGTACATGTTTGTATGCGTGTTTGTATGTCTGTATGTTTGCGTGCTAGTTCGTTTGGTAGTTTGCTTGCTTGCTTGCAAACTTGCTCGTTTCCTTGCTTTGCTCGTCTGCTTGTTTCCTTGTTTTGCTTGCCTGCTTGCTTCCTTGTTTTGGCTGTCTGCTTGCGTCCTTGTTTGCCTGTTTGCTTGCTTGCTTAATTATTCGCATCCGTTTTTTCACCTCCTTGTGGCTTTACCACAGCAACCGAAGTACCATATAACAACTCACCCGAAAAGTTCATAGCCGACCCATCCGCATGGCATAAACGATTTCTCAAGACCGAAACCTCTACAGCCATGCCCCGCAAGTACGGAACTTAGCTGAACTGACCCTGAGCCCGCTTTGATTGTATTTTTTCAAAAGAGCTACGCGCATGCCGCGGTCACAGAATAAGGCACATGTATTCATTGATTTAAACAAATATGCACACACATAAATATAAATATACATAAATAAATATATATATATATAGATATTTTTTTGTCAAAGGAAGTTTGAAAGTCTAACTTCCGTGTTACGGATGGCAATGGATGTGCAATGGATGTCACAAAGCAATGGATGTCCAGGGCAATGGATGCCACAAGGGCAATGGATGTCCCAAGAGAAATGGATGTCACAAGAGCATTGGATGTCACAAGAGCAATGGATGTCCAGAGCAATGGATGTCCAATTTTAATATGGGAATTCGAATAGGTAATGCGAAACAATGGGCCTTTCGGTTATGCCCCTTTTTGCGATGTCCCGCCGCTCCTGCTGTCTTCGTTAGCCCCTGCTTTGCTCAAGTGACGCTGCACGGAACAGCCACAAACTCTCTTTTCCCACCACAGTGACAAACAATTTTAAGGACCCAGGAAAGGTGTCAGGTTCATGTTTCCAGGTGTGGCCTACTTTCTTTTGATGGTTCTCTGGTGAAGTTGAACATATTGTGCATCTAATTCGTTGGAAATCTCGCAAAATCGCTGCGTTTTCAAGCTTGCAGATAGACAGATATATAGATAGATAGACAGACAGATAGATAGATAAATAGATAGATAAATCGATGGATTAGGTAGATAGACAGACAACTACAACAACAACAGCAGCAACAACAACAACAACTACTACTACCACCACCACCACCAAATCTACAACTACAATTACAACATAGCCACCCCCTCCCTAGGAGGACCCCGTTGAATTGAAATATTTCAATTTCACGTGCCCCCTCAATTTTTGCTTCATTGACGTGGCTCCACGGACCCCTAGTGTGAAACGCTCACGTACGGCATTCTTTGACCTGGCACGAGGCCAAGCCCAACTAAATATCTGGATGGCAAATGGATTGGAAAGTCTTGTGCATATGGCAAAATTGGGTGACGCATGTGTCAAACAGCATGACTCCCTAGGAATAAACATCAATTTGTAACAAAAAACAACTTTTTCCAGCTCAGAGCCCGAGCAGTTTGCACTGCATTTTGCCGTATTGGCAGTTACAGTGTTCAACCCCAAACACTCAAGCGTTGCCCATGTCATTGGGTCCAAACTTGCCATTGAAATTTAATACAGATATGAAATTTATGGGAAGCTTGTTTCAATGCTTTTTTCAAGGTAGGGTTTAGACTTAAGAATCTCGCAAGGTGGGGCTTAGGGTTAAGAATCTCGCAAGGTAGGATTTAGGGTTAAGAATCCCGCAAGGTAGGGTTTAAGGTAGAGTTTAGAGTTAAGAATCTCGCAAGGTCGGGATTAGGGTTAAGAATCTCGCACAGTAGGGTCTAGAATCTCGCAAGGTAAGGTTTAGGGTTAAGAATCTCGCGGGGTATGGTTTAGGTCTCGCAAGGTAGAGTTTAGAGTTAAGAATCGTAGGGCAAGGCAAGATTTAGGGTTAAGAATCTCGCAAGGTAGAGTTTAAAGTTAAGAAAATGACAAGGTAGGGTTTAAGTCTCGCAAGGTAGGGTTTAGGGTTAAGTCTCACAAGGTAGTGTTTAGAGTTTAGGCCTTGCAAGGTTGGGTTTAGGGCGTAAATCTCGCAAGGTAGGCTTTAGGGATTAGGTCTCGCAAGGTAGGGTTTAGGGTTTAGGTATCGCAAGGTAGGGTCTAGGGTTTAAGTCTCACAAGGTGGTCTTTAGAGTTTAAGCCTTGCAAGGTTGGATTTAGGGCGTAAATCTCGCAAGGTAGGCTTTAGGGTTTAGGTCTCGCAAGGTAGGGTTTAGGGTTTAGGTCTCGCAAGGTAGGGTTTAGGGTTTAAGTCTCACAAGGTAGTGTTTAGAGTTTAGGCCTTGCAAGGTTGGGTTTAGGGCGTAAATCTCGCAAGGTAGGCTTTAGGGTTTAGGTCTCGCAAGGTAGGGTTTAGGGTTTAGGTCTCGCAAGGTAGGGTTTAGGGTTTAGGTCTCGCAAGGCAGGGTTTAGGGTTAAGTCTCACAAGGTAGTGTTTAGAGTTTAGGCCTTGCAAGGTTGGGTTTAGGGCGTAAATCTCGCAAGGTAGGCTTTAGGGTTTAGGTCTCGCAAGGTAGGGTTTAGGGTTTAGGTCTCGCAAGGCAGGGTTTAGGGTTTAAGTCTCACAAGGTAGTGTCAAACTGGACGATATTTCCGTACTTTGGACGCATTTTCCCGTACTTTCGGGCGCCGTCCGGACGGCCCTCAGCAAAAAAAGGTACGTTTGAAGAAAAAAAGGCCTTTGCGGGTTTGCGTTGTATGGGCAAATCTTCCAAGGACAAGCTGACACCAAAATTGAGCAATGCATAGCAATGCACCCGCATGTCCGCAACTGAGTGTTGAGACCTACCCTCATGCGTGCAATAATGAAAGAGCAAAGCGCGTCCAAAAATAAAAGCAAGGAAGATCGAAACCATGGCATCAAACACGTAAACGAGGACGAGAACCAATACTTTGGAAATCTTTGCTCCTGCACCTTCAAGCAGCCAAAACAAAATGGCACCTGCAACAATGAGTTGCAAGTTGGCAATGTGGCACATTATTTCCACAGTTTCAGCTGTACCTCCATGAGTGAACATCACTAACATGCAAAAAAAGTACTTGATTTCAAAAATTACTTTCAGAAAAATAAACCATTTTTCTTGAAAGACTCCAAAACTTAATTAAGGGTCGTTGGAGAGTCAAGGCAAGTGTATTTAATTGTTATTAGACTGGTCCAGCGACATTATGTCACTCAAGCTTTCTGAAGTTCGTGCATCACGAAACGGTGATGAGATTGATAGCTTTAAAATGCTTTATCGCCATAGAAGCCAGAACTTTTGCAATTTGCATTTAATTCAGAAGATTGAGTTGATTTGGAAACATCAGATGATGTTGAGGCTGAGAAAGAGGTGGTCCTAGCTTCCTTTGCTTGTGGGGAGATGGACGTTGACATCGAGTCCGGGAGACCGTCTCGGAGCTGGGCAACTATCAAGCGAGTCTTATGGGCGCGGGAAGAGCATCGGGCTGCAGACAAGAAGAAGAAGCACCTGGAGGAGTTGCAGCGAGCCCAAGAAGAACTCAAGGCCCAGTGTGAGGCCTCTGCCCTTGGAGGCTTGTCATGTCGTGCAAATTTACACTGCTTTTCATTTTTCATTTTTGCCACATCCATCCGCTTCCGAAGCCAACCCGAAATCGTGGCAGGACAGTGCTTTATATAATTTTAACTTGTTTACCACACTTGTCTCATCGCAGATTTTAACATCCCTAGTTTAACATAGTTTAACATCAGCTTGTCCAAGTGCACCTTCTGCTCTGTGAAATTGAAGGTAGCGTCCGTATAATCAGCTTGTCAAATTGCACATGGTGCCCTATAAAAAGTATAAAAAGCATCAATTACTTTACTTCGCGTGATCCCCACCATGACATTTATACATTTTGTTACTGGCAAATCTTCTGGCATTCTATCTGACATATCTTCTGGCATTCTATCTGGCATATCTTCTGGCATATTATCTGCTCAAATCTTCTGGCATTCTATCTGGCAAACATTCTGGCACTTTATCTGGCATATCTTCTGGCATTGTATCTGACATTTTATCTGGCATTCTATCTGGCATACCTTCTGGCATTCTATCTGGCATATCTTCTAACATTCTATCTGGCATATCTCCTGGCACTCTATCTGGTATATCCTATGGCATATCTTCTCGCATTCTATCTGACATTCTATCTGGCATATCTTCTGGCATTCTATCTGGAGGTCCAGCGGTACGCACTGAGCTCGGAAGGCCCCAGGTTGAGGTCCAGCGGTGCGCACTGAGCTCGGCAGGTCCCAGGTTGAGGTCCAGCGGTGCGCACTGAGCAAGGAAGGTCCTAGGTTGAGGTCCAGCGGTGCGCACTGAGCTGGGAAGGTCCCAGGTTGAGGTCCAGCCGTGCGCACTGAGCTCCGAAGTTGGCGAAGAGCTTGGCCAAGAGTTGGCAAGGCAACAGTGGACGTGGAAGTGGAGGCAGAGGTGGTAGAAGAGGAGGAGGAGGACGCGGAGGAGGAGGAAGGAGGAGGAGGAGAAGGAGGAGGACGAGGAGGAGGAGGAGGATGAGGAGAACAGCTCTGATAAAATCTAACAACCCTCACCTGGCAGGTGGTGAAAAAGCAAGCTACATAGCCTGCACACACAGATCTTTTTGAATCCCAGAAACGTGATATTCTGGAGATCAGCCTATGGGGTTTGATTTTATAGAGGCACAAATTCTCAGATTCTCAGGCTGTGATTCTATAGAGGTGAATCTTGATGGGAGGCTTTGGGTTTTGATTCCAAAAGGCAGGTTTCGGCTGAG